CATTATACACACATCCCCACATTGCTTACTTCCCCAGCAGAATAACATCTTGTGAGGGAGTGTAGCTGGCATCATAGAGTATGACAAGACTATGAGAAGTTAGCCTGTACAATAAACACAAGGATGAAGGAGGGTAAAAAAACACATTTCACAGATTATTTGAACAAGCCTCACTCCAAGAAGGTTTTCCTTTGATAACTTGGCAGCATTGCAAGCCAGCCATATACAAGCATATGTTATAAGCTTTTCCTTAATTAGTGTCTTTTGACTGGAAGCTGTGTCTACAATAACTAATGGTAGAGTCTAGATGAGGTAAATTATTTATATATATATTTTTCAGTAGGTTTAAACTTGCAAACTTCTGTAGGAATTTAGATTTACCAATTTGATTACCTGTCTGCCTATCTCCTCTGTCCTCACCTGATCAGTTATTAAAAATAGACCGCAAAGTTGACATCATAGGGTTGTTGGCATTGTTATTTAGCAGCAATATGTCCATTGTTTGATTTCAATTATGGCATGGTCTCCCAGGAGTACATTCTGTATGTTCTTTCTGTGGATTTCCACCCTAATCCAAAAGACAGCCTGCTAGATTATACTTTAGTTTTTTTTTTAGACAGAAGGTGTAGTTTTGAAACGTATGCCTTATTGATATGATCTTTCCACTGGTATTTTCATTATCTGCCGCTACTATCCTCACCTATGGTGAGCCAGTGGGGAGATATGGTCTATCCCTTCTAGATTCTCAGTATATAAAATTATTTTAGGAATACTTTAAACCAGCCTTTCTCAACTTTTACAGTTGAAGAACCCTTGAACAAAATTTTCAGGTTTCGGGGGAATCCCTGAAATAATTTTCTGTTCTACAGCTCACAGGTCATTAGTGTGATTGCTGAGATGTAGATATAATTATAAACAAAAGCATAAATAATGACATTTACACTAGCACAAACAGTGCATTTAGCTCTCAGGAGAAAATGTATTTATTAACATTGTCACTGAACCCCAGTTGAGAAACCCTGCTCTGTAGGCTGCACATAACTTTAGAGATGCTTGTAGACTGGCAGGCAAATGAAATGTACAGAACAGAATCGGTTTACATTCCACTCACAGGATGTAGGTGGGTTTTTGTTTTAACAGACCTTTCTTATACAGCTCCTTGCCCCCTAAGTTGGGCAGAACTTTCTGGTAGAGGTGCCTAAACCCTGGGGGGGGACCTCCCTCAGAACCCTGAATAAGAATACCTGTCTTAGACTGTAGACTTGTCATCTCTATAATGGTTTGGTTGAGGTGTTAGTGAAGGGATTCATTAGCTAGTTTTGTACAAAGCAACATGTTTTTGAAACAGTTCTACCCAAATTTAAACTGTTTTATATAGGCAGCTTAATGTTAGACACAATATGTAAGTTCTTAGATTGTTTTTATTGAACATTTTTTTAAATTAACAGATATAACAAATGAACAATAGTCGTATCACAAAAGGTAGCTTCGATACAACTCAACAGGGCATGGGTTATCTGACATAAAGCACACAACAGAAGACAAGGGACTCTGTATAATAGAAATTGGATAATCCAAATAGAAAAGTCATAATTTATATAATCATATATAGAGAACGGGTTTAGTGGTGGGGTATGGGAGAAGGGAGGAAAACTGGGAGGGGAAAGTTAGGAGACATAGGGGAAGGGGAAGAACCACAGTTCATGGACCTGTGACTACACACACAGAGTCAGTGTCATTTAAGGCATAACAAATGTTGTAGAACACACATGGATTAGCCATAACCAAATCCAGAGAACAGAAGAAAAAGGAATGATAAAGAATAAAGAAAAAGCAATAGAAAGAGAGGGAGAGGGTCAAGTCGGGGCACATTAAGGCACGGAAATATACCAAATTCACGAGTCCCAAACCTTTTGGTATTGTTGTGAAGAATACAGGTAAGTCTGTCGTTAATCATAATCCAATTCAGTTTATTCTTACATAGTGAAGCGGGATGAAACAGATGGATGCATCCTCACAATCTTGGTAGGGACAAAGTACTATCTTAATAACGTTTTATAATTTGCTTCAATTAGAGTAGTGTTGATAGATACCTTAGATAATGCAAAGGCAATGTCTTGCCAGTCAGACAGGTCATAAGTGACATTCAGGTTCCGTTCCCATTTATCCATATAGTGAAGCTTACATTTCAGATCAGTGAGGAGTGCATATACTGCAGAGACATGGCCTCTTGGTTAATCCCTATTCTGGCACGAAAGTTCAAAATTGGTAAGTATGAGTGGCTCATCCAATAAAGGAAGCTTCCAGCGGACAAAAGAGACAATCTGGTTTTATCTAAAGATAACAGTAGAGGGCATTTTCATCTTATCTTTAAAGTGCTGCAAAGAGTATACTCGATCACCCTTAAGATAGTCCCCTATCCACAGCATTCCTTTATTGATCCATCATTGAAATGGAGCAGGTATTAAACCAGGTAAAAATTCAGGGTTAAAAAAAAACAGGCGCCAAGGGCGTGTGTGGAGATGCTAGTGATTTGCGATGGCGCACTCTGTCCCAGAATGTCAAAGAATATGATCTGGTGGGGAATAGTATAGGAGGGTGTCATTGATTAGGAAGCCAAAGTAAAGAGCCGACAGCGATGGGGTGGCAGGAAAGAGCTGCAATAAAAACCTAAAGGGGTGTAGGTCCCTTAGCAGTGGTGTAGGCCAATTGGGCAATTTGAGCAGCTTGGAAATATGCTTGAAGATTAGGAAAGCCAATCCTGCCTCGTGGTTTGGACAGCATATCCAAGGTCTTCTGTTGTCCCAAACAAAGCAAAGAACCTCAGCTTGTAAATGCTGCAACTCACGTCTCAGAACTGGTATCGGTAGGGTTCAAAAATAATACAGCACTTGGGGCAAAAAGGTAATTTTAGTAGAGTTGATTCTGCCAAACCAGCATAAGGAGTAGTCAGCCCAATGACGAAGATCTCTAAATTTTTTTAAAAGGTGGGGGTAGTTAGCGTGATAGAGGGTCTTAAACGAAGCAGTTGGATAGCTAAATAAGGCAAGGAGTTGCATGCCCGTTGAAAATTATAAGTATTCTGGAACTGCTGTTCCACAGAAGAGGGTAAGGAAACGTTAAGGGCTGTCATTTTTTGAGAGTTTAAGGAGAGCGCAGTAAGGTCAGAGACTGGCACAAAAGAGACAGTAGATTATTTAAGGGGAGGTAATATACATAAGAACATCGTGAGCAAACAAGGCACATTTATGTTCCTGTTGTCCACAACGGAAACCATGGATATTTGGGGTGGGAAAATAGTGAAGTTCTTAATACATCAGACCTGCCAATATATGTCTACAAACCTGAGCTCTGCCCAGGAATAGGTTTAAAATATATAAGCCTCATTACCATAATAAAGTTAAAAAAATAGAAGTATAAAATATACAGTCGGGGCCCTGTTGGCAACCGTATATTTATAAAGATGAGCATATTTTTTGTTATGGGGTTTTCTTGAGGAAGCCAGCAGTGAAACTAGTTCTGCAGTTCTTCTGGAGGCACTTGTACATTGGGTAAGCCCTCTCATCCTACTGACCTTGAGGTTCCATTCATTGGGTGGGAGTTTTAGGCTGGTCATACTATACTTAGTTTCATCCATTTATTCCATTCAGTGTGATCCTGGAACTGGTGACTGCCATACGTCCTGTGAATACTAATGGTGTTTACCAAGATACTACAGCAAAGGGGGTGAAATCTTGGTGTTTGTAAGCTGGGATTTAATGACTGCTTAGGATTTACACTGATATTTGCCTGTTTTTAATTATTTTTTTTTTTTACTATTTGCATGTTTTTTGGCACATATGTATTTGAACAATGTATGTAATGTCAGCTGTAGCATCTTACATATTTACTGCAAATGGTGTAAATTAAGTTGAAGGGCTTAAATTTTCAGAACAATTTTCAGAACAAGTCACACTTCAGGACTGTTACTGGCCTATTGCTTTAACCATGAATGGGTTATATGATGCACTGTCAAACCACTATCTGTCAGAAATATTAGTGCTATCATGTTATTTAACAGTTTGCGAAGTTGCATAAGGATGGATTTCAGTTTGTGATTTGAATAATTGGAGTACAGTCTTTTTCTTCATTTAAGAGATTAAAGCCAAACATTTTTTTAACTTTATATAGCTTGGGGAAGATTTAAAATCTATGTCCATTTTTTTAGGTGATCTGTGTCGCACTGTAGGGAATTTTACCTCGCTTCCTGTCTCTGTAATTGCAAGACAAGAAAGGCAGGGGGGCTGGGTGAGGAGTTGAGGGAAAAAATCTGATTTTACAACCCTTTTCTGATCTGTCCAAAAGAAATATAAATGTTTTGGATGAAGTTGGGCTTTGACCAGTAGTACTTGATATAGTTGTGGGAAACAAATTGATATGAGCCCATTCACTGAATCACTTTGAGACCTTCCTTTTTTGACTTGTTGAAGAAATCGGAGCATTTGATTCTTATTATGGTTTCATCATTTCACAATAAATGAGGTTCTTAGAGGTATAGGTTTGAGTGCAGAAATTCTTCTGTAACATAGGCATGGTGATTCTGCATACATCCATAGTTTGTTGTCAGCCCCAAATACCTATGGGGATTCTCTTGACATCTAGCTACTGCAGCATGGTGTGTGTAAGGCCTGTACCTGAAATTTTTAGTTCCACGTCTTTGCCATTGGTGGAACTGTAAAAAGCACATTCTTACTTTCAACTCACCCTGATAAAGAGATATTCCTATCCTGGATTTTTATTTAAGACATTGGGCTCAATTCACAAAGCATTAGTTATCGTGTTAAGAACTGTGGTAAAACACCGCCTAGTGTTTTGCAAACATTTGTTTGCAATTTACAAAAATATGCTACTTAAATACTGCATGAGCTGTTTTATGAAGTGGTACAGTATTTTAGTAGTGAAAGCTATTGGTATGTTTAACCACTTGTCTACCGGGCACTTTCACCCCCTTACTGCCCATGCACTGATGGGCACTGATGAGGAGGCACTTGTAAGTGGCACTGATGGGCATTGACAGGTATCACTGGTGGGCATTGACAGACATCACTGATGGGCACTGAAAGGCAGTACTCATATATGGCACAGATAGGCAGCACTGACTGGCACTGATAGGCGGCACTGACTGGCACTGATAGGTGGCACAGATTAGCAGCACTCATAGGTGGCACTGACTGGCATTGATAGGTGGCACAGACTGGCACTGATAGTTGACACTGAAAGGCAGCTCAGATGGGCACTGATATGTGGCATTGATGTGCACTGATGGGCACTGACAGGTGGCATTGATGGACACTGACATCTGGCACTGATGGGGCTACACTGACCAGCAGGGCACTGATCATCAGTGCAGATATCCCCTCTGAGGAATGCCGATTACGGACTCTCCTCTCCTCACAAGTTGTCAGCGTGACAGCTCGTGAGGAGAGGAATGCGGATAACTGGCATTTCCTTATTTGCATGCGATCAGCTGTGATTAGACACATGACAGAACCGAAGTAATCGGCTCTTTCCGCTGATCGGTGACACAGCGCACAACCGATTGCCGAGCTGCGTGCCCCCGGGGGCACGCACGCGTGGTTAGAGTAGGAGGACGTCATATGACGTCCTCCCAGAACGAGAGAACCGTCATGCTCCCATCATTTTCTTATACGGTGGGCAATAAGTGGTTAAATGCCGGTGGTAGAATGTACATATCATGTTGTTGAGGAGCAGGTGGCCGCCATGTCCCTAACAACCGTGACTCATCTGTCAGCGGGGTTCCTTGGCGACAGCAAAATGTAAACAAAACAATTGCTGGGATTTAAAAATTAAAACAAAACCGCATGGGGGTCCCACCCAATCAATATCAGAGTATGGGGTACATACTCATTCAGCAAAAAAAAATTGTGAAAAATAACCAAAAACAAAAAAAAAAAAAAAACGAATGGTGTTTATCATGATTGATGCTGGATTTACTGCAGGGGACATTGCTTTTGTTTTTTTTTTTTTTTACAAAGGAGTTGTCAAAAAACTGTCTACTAATTTTATTTATTTTTCACACTTTTTTTGTGAATAAGTAGGGGTACCATTACTCATTCACATGGGAGGGGCTGGGATCTGGGGGCTCCATTTTAACAGGGGGCTTCCAGATTCCGATAAGCCTCCCACCTGCAGGGTTGTGGGTAAGAGGCCCTTGTCTCCATCAACAGGCGGCGCTCCATTGTTCTCCCCCTTTCCTGGCCTGCCAGGCTGCATCCTAAGGGTCTGGTATGGATTTGGGAGGGGGCACGCCATTTTTAAAAAGAAACCATGCTATATTTTCCTAATATTTAAATAATGGCAATTCTTTTGCTCACATTCTGCTATCAGTAGTTGAGTCATGGTTGTTAAGGACACAGCGGGTACCCGCTCCTTAACAACCATGATATTTCCTGGTTGTTAAGGTCACCGGCGACCTCCCACTCCTTGACAACTCGCTAGTTATTGGTTGTTAAGGATGCCGGCGGGTGCCGACTCCTTGACAACCAGCTGAAAGCAATCACATTTTTTAACGGTCACATGCCTGCACCACTTCATATTTAGCACATTTTTACATTTATTTCCTTTAGGGAATTGACTTTAACACCGTTTCATGCAGTATTTATCGAGTGTTTTTGCTTTTTAAGGTAAACACCATATAAAGGGATAGTGAATTGTCTTTTTCAGCATCGCATATAGTATTTAGAAAAAATGATCAGATCACCTAAATACTGCATGCAATTTGCTTTATTGAATTGAGCCCATTATCCATAATCCATTTTGTACAATGAATTAATTTACAATATAGTATAAATGTGAATGCATTGCTCATAATATAAAACCGTTCTAAGTTTGAGGAAGGTATTGATAATGAGAAACAGAGCTGCGCATTCGTCCAGTGTTTTAAGGTGTAAAATCTTATTCACTTTAAAATGCTTTTGCATTTTCTGCGTCATTAGTTTTGCCACCATTCCTGCGTAAGGTTTTCCAGCTTTAACAGTAATGTTTGGATACTTTGGTTCATTGCTGCATTGTGGTTCATTTACAGGTCCTTCAGCAGCTCCTAAATCACTGCAGAAAAAACAAGGACAAGGTTCTTCTTTTCTCCTTCACAAAGGTGAGCACCATATAAAGTCTTCCATGCTTGGCTGAGGCATAACTCTTGCTGGATAACGCAAAAGACTTGCAACAGCTGTCAACCACATTTCCTTCCTTGCATTTAATACATAAACTAGCATTGAAGTGTGTGATAAGCACAGTTATGAATAGCAAATGAAATTCTTAATAATGCTTCTAAATTAGAGAAAAAAAAAAACAGGTTGCCTTGCTATAATTTGTCCATGAAGCTGTCCAAATGAAAACACATATCCACTCTAAAACTGTCCACATGTGTGCAGATCTCTCCAAAGAAATATTTGAAACTTACCACCAAGTTACCATGATTCCCTCCTTTGGCCTATAACTAGCTCTCCTGATGTATTGTAGCTTTTTTATCATTTATTATAAATATTTTCCTTTTCTTTCAAGCTAGAGAAATACATAATTTCATATATAACTCCTTCAGACATAACACAAGTTTATACTTGCAGGCTAGCAATACTTTCTTACACATAGAAATTCATTATTTTAGTAATGGATTTATCAGTAGGCTTCCGTGTATATCATCTGTTTCCAGGAATTTATGCACTTATAAAAAATTGTATACATGAGTGCTCTTTACTAGTACATGTTCCCTAAGCAATAGTTTTGTACATTTACAGTAACATAACAAGTATCCATCTTCATGCTGCTGAGAATTCTACACATGCAGCTGTATTAAACACAGTCACTGGAACATAGAGTGATTATGTGTTGCTATGTACAGTTTATTGTTAGAATAAAGCTGGCCATACATTAATCTTTTTTTCCTTTAACCAACGGGTTGAACAAAAAAAATTAATCCAATTCTCCCATCCACACATTGGAGGTGGCTAGGGTAATCTCTCCCTCTGTGACATTGTGTTCTGATCAGAACACACTGATCAGTGTTGCTGGCTATAGCCGGTGACACTGATCGTTCAAGGAAAACCCAACAGGCTGTACAGAAGTTGATCAGTAGGTCGAGTTCTGTACAACCGCACTGCCCATACATGGATTAAAATTTGGCCGGTCCCTGCTGAACTGGTTGGATTTTGATAACTGTATGACCTCCTTAATTTGGGACTGAATGGACAAGATGATAATGTATATTGGTATTGTTTTTGCATTGTTATTGTTGAAATCCAGCATTAAAAACATAAATGAATCTTGGATGTGGTAGCTAACAAAATTTCAAACAGATGGCATACATAATGGAGTTTAAATGGCAAGGTACCCACAGTCACTTAGAAAAGAAAATCCTGGCTCTAGTGCTTGCTTTTGGCTCTTCACTAGAATAGGCGGCCAAACAATACTACAGTAGCGTGGCACAGGATGGGATGAGGCTGGCCAGAGCCAGTGATCTTAGGAGCCACAACATCAGAAAGTGGATGAGAAGGAACTTGGATGTATCATCTAAACTGTGTAATTGTCTGTTAAACACTTTTGAATAATTAAAAATTCACCAAATTTAAAAATAATCAATTAGGTTAATCTGTTAGGTTACGTGGACACACAGTTTACTTTTTCTGCCAAGTAGTGTCTATTAAGTAGCTATTCACCAAGCTAATTTATTACTTATGTAATGACTTGTCTGAAGTTTTTTTTAAATGTCGCACTTATCACATTTAAAGAGCCAGTTTAACTTTACGTGGCCATAGATGGATCAAAATTTGCCCAGTTCAGCAGGGACCCAGAAACTCATGAGCAAGCACTCAAAGTGCTCATTTGTTAGTATTGTAGCTGTGCATCAAACACTTGCACATCCTGCTATCTACAGGACAGAGAAGGGAGGACAATGAACATCTATTACAAAAGAGTGCACAGCATGTTAATGCTTTGAAAACCCTGTAATGCATTGGAATGTTTTTGACAAAAGTAAGTAATGTGAACAAATCCTTTAAAACTTGGAGTTTGACATTTACTGTGGCTTGTAGATGCACATCTTGGATTTAGAAAGGAAAAAGGTGTTATAGAAGAGGTGCCATAATCCCTATGAATATATAGTGAAAAACCCTCTTTGTGGTGGGATTTTTATAGGCACCGGTCAAAGCAAAATATATTCTTAAGAGTGACAATGTAAAAAAACATGTTTTATTTTTATAGGCACTGGTCAAAGCAAATATATTCTGAAGAGCGACAATGTAAAAAAAACATTTTATACAATATTAAAAAAGACATGTAACTACAAAGTATGGTGGTATCATCAAACATGATTTTACAATAGATGAAGGTAGATAAATCATGCATATGTTTGCACTTGACTCGTTTCGAGACCTGATAGCAATCTCTTCTTCAGAAGTGCTTAAAAAGCATGACACCTATAGTAAACATATCATTATGTATCGAATCTTCCATTTATCCATCAAAAAATAATTACACTCTCAAGGAACATAATTTTTCACTTGCTTAGCCCCACTCAAGGGCAGAGAACATGAGAAAACCAACAGTTGGTTAAAACCATAATCAAGTGAGTGTAGCCAGTGGTTTCATAATCCTCTCACAGCAAAAGTGAAAAGAGAGCAGAAACGGGGAGAGACATCCACTGCTCTATTCATCTCCTGGAGAGACCCCTCCACAGCCACCAGGGAGCGACTGAAAAAAATACCTAATCCCCAGTATTAACTACTTACCTGCCGCCGTATAACAGATATACGGGTGCACAAAATCACGTGTATATATACGTGATTTTGCATTTCCGGGTAGGGGGTGCATGAGAGCACCCTACTCTCCTGCAATTTGCGGCCACGGATGTAAATCACTGGGTCCCGGCCGGTAAATACCCGCTGGCGCCCTGTTATTACCGACAATCACCGATGGGGAGGAAGACTGTTTTGTTTAGAGTCTTCCTCCCTATCAGGTTGGGCACACTGCTTGGGATGGCTGTGCACACAGCTTCTATGGTTGAAATAGAAGAGAACAGGCCTATCGCAACACAAGCTGGCCATGGCAGCCACTCCTTGGCCGCAAGGCGCGCAGCGTCACCGTGTCGATGTTGGTGCAATTGCGTCACTCCGACGAAGCACGGGAAACAGACCCAAGAAGGGGAGTGGTCAGGGAAACCATGTTAGTAGGTAAACTACGCCTTTATTTCTGCAGTTGCCATAGTGTTTTAGAATGAACTTCTCCCCATTAGGTAGCAAAACCAATTTCTTGGTGTTCATATATTGGCAGTAATTACACCCGCCACTTGTAAAAGTACCTAGATATTTGCAGGGATCTTAACTTCTTTGTAATTTATATTCACTATGTACTAGGTAGTCCCTCATCGAGTTGGCTCGTTTGTAATTAAAATTAGGGGTTTCACATACAAATTTATTAATGGTAGGGTCGATTGTCAAAAGATGCCAGTATTTTTGCACAATCTTCCTATATTGCAGGTGTTGGCTGGAAAGTTTTGTAATTATTCGAACATGATTCTTCTCTTTTTTGTTTGTGATTTGATAAAGTAAGAAATGTCTGGATTTATTGTATGCTTTTTTTATAGGCTTTTTTAAGGCATGTAGAGGAATATCCTCTTAACAGAAGACGTTGCCTTAGTTTATCTGCTTCCTTCTTGAAGGATATGTCATCTGAGCAATTATGACTGATGTGTAAATACTGGCTATATGGGATAGATTTTGCCAAAGAGCTAGGATGAAAACGATTAGCATGTAAAATAGTGTTACCTGCAGTGGATTTACAGTAAAGATCACTACCCAAAGTATCGTCTTAGTTTTTGTAAATTTGGATATCCAAAAACAAGATTGTTTTGCTGTCAAAAGACATGGTAAACTTTAAATTAAGATCATTAACACTGATTTTGTCCAAAAATTCCTTTAGTTCATCAGTAGAACCTTCCCATATCATGAACACATCGTCAATGTATCTCTATACCATAACGAAACCAATTCAACAAAAGGAGCCAACTTGGTGGTATCCATTAGAGTCCGTTCCCACTCTCCCAGGTACAGAAATTATATTAACACTGGATATTAGGCATTTTTTTTGGTCGCCCCCTGGTGGCTGTGGAGGGGTCCTTCCAGGAGACGAATAGAGCTGTGGATGTCTCTCCCTGTTTCTGCTCTCTTTTCACTTTCGCTATGAGAGGACTATGGAACCACTGTCTACACTCACTTGATTATGGTTTTAACCAACTGGCGGTTTTCTCATGTTCTCTGCCCTTGAGTGGGGCTATGTAAGTGAAAAAGTATGTAATTGAAAGTGCAATTTTTTTTTTGTTGGATATATGTAAGATTTGATACATAATGATATGTTTACTATAGGTGTCATGCTTTTTAAGCACTTCTGAAGAGATTACTATCAGGTCTCGTAATGCATCAAGTGCAGACATATGCATGATTCATCTACCTTCATCCATTGTAAAATCATGTTTGATGATACCGCCATACTTTGTAATTACATGTCTTTTTAATATTGTATAAATAAAAACGTGATTTTTTTACATTGTCGCTCTTCAGAATATATTTTGCTTTGACCAGTGCCTATAAAAATCCCACCACAAAGAGGGTTTTTTCACTATATCTATACATCTTAGTTTTACAACTTTTTCTTATTATCATGAACATTAGCTTCTAGATGTTTTGGAAAGATACTGCATGGCGTCAGGACTGGAATATCGGAGACTTGATGGAAGCACCAAGCCAGAAGACAGAGTAAAATATTGTAAAGGAGTTCAACAGTGAGCAAGATGTGAACATTTGTTTAGTTTCAACTATGTAAGTCTTACTTTAAATATAAACTTTTTTTATGTTACAAATGTAGTACGTTTTGTGGTAATTGTTTCCTTGTGTTATTAAAGGGCTGGTGGACTAGGGCTTAATTTTGTTGGTGCAAACATAGTGGTGATCTTTGATCCAACTTGGAATCCAGCAAATGACCTCCAGGCAATTGACAGGTAATTGTGCCCAGTAACTTTGTATTATTGTATGTGAAACTCCGATGACAATGCAAACCTAAAGAGACTGTCCTTAGACCATTTTTTTTAACCGCAATCTTCCCAGCAGATTATATGTGCATTTAACCTATTTTATGCATGTTATATACTTGTAAACCCCTCCTTGTGTAGATACCTAAAATCCCTGAACCTGCTGCTGGACACTGCCACTCTGGATATGATGTTAGTACTATTAGAGCTATGATTCAAGTTATGCTCTTTTGCTTATTCCACTTATTTGCGTATTCCCCTTTGTTTATACCACAGCAGCTACATAAAAGTTTATGTAGGGAGTGGACTCTGAAGGAACTAGGCTAGCACAGACAGTAATTAGACACTCCCAGGAATAGTCACATTTTTTTTATCAAGTTCAAAAGCACATTGCAAGTGAAAAAAATTGTTTATGGAGTAAAAATAAGCAATTAAAATTCTTGCTTTTTCTGCACTTTTACCTGTCGTTTTTTAAGCTGGTGACAGGGTCTTTATATTGTTGCACTATTTTTTAAGCTTATGTCCCTATTAACCACATCTGTGTTTTGGCCAAGATTGTTCAAAGGTTGTCCAAAGATATTGAGTTCCTGGCCTCCTGTTGTCCTGTTTTATCAGCATTTCAAAACTGTTTGTTTTGGTGGCTCTTTCTGACTTCATATGAGTTCAATGCAAGTCCAGCAATTTTACTTAAAGTGGTAGTAAACTCCTGAATGTGATTTTTACCAACAGGTAAGCTTATAATAAAGCTTACCTGTAGGTAAAATTAATATCTCCTAAATGTGCACTATTTAGAAGATATTCCGGTGAGCAGCATCCAGTGACAAAACTGGCAGATATGCTCTGAAGGATCGGCGTACCCGTGCTGTCCTTCAGAGCTGTGTTCTGCGGCCGAGACTCCCGAGCGCATGTGTGGGAGTGAGGTCAGCGTGGCACACCCATTCAAGCAACTGCAGCCCGTGAACCTGGAGGAAGACCGGATGAAGACTGAAGCTCTGTCAGCGGTGACAGTGAGCTGCTGGAGGGCTTCGTTTTGAGGTAAGTCTCTCATAATGGGCTAGTATGTGATGCATACTAGCACATTATGGCTTTACTTTGCAGGGAGAAAGGTGTTTTTTTTTTTTTTTTCGTAAGTTTACTGCCGTTTTAAAGCCCCTATTTAGTTTTAGGAAACTAATCATCCACAGATTGTTTAAAGTGACATTGTCACCACAGGGTCACTTGTATTAAACAATATATAAGATTTTTGTGCTTACCATAAAATCTTTTTTTGGAGTCCTTTGGAGACAGAGAGACATAAAAATCATAGATGTGTAGTTTATATTCAGCTGCTTTCAGAAGGTTGGCCAGCCAGCTATAATGCCACCCATAACAGTCATGCCTTTGTTTTGTGAACAAGCAGAACATGGGGCCAAGGCTTAGAGTGGTGGAACCTGTGTCCACTGAAAGAGACAGGGATATAGAAAATTTTAGCCATGTAGGACATCCAAATGTAGTCCAACTGAGAGGTGGAAAAACAGCCATTGAGAGATCCAACAGATCTGGAAATCTTACTAGAAAAGTTTCCGAAGGATTACAGGAGAAGTTCACCTTTTGCACAAAAAAAATAAGAATAAATGCTTTTTTTTTTTTCTGCTGGAAAAAAAAATGCACATTTATTATATTTGGCTGCAGGAGCCTGTTAAGCATTGCACCAGCTATCAGCAGATCGTTGGTGCCATGCAGTGCTCCTGCAGACCTGTCCAGTATATCTGTTTGCGTACAGGATGTGCTGACAAACAGATATACTGACAGGAAGACTCAATAAATTACCATGGTGCTCCACACTACCATGGTAGTTTGAACTACAAGCCAACAGCCTCTAAGGCTTCTAAGGTTCATTCATTCACAGAACACTGTGAATGAATGCCGCACCCTGTTATTAAATCTGACAGCTTGTATGGGGAACTTCTTCCCATACGTCTGTCACAGGGAGGGGGGACAGCTGGCAGTGGCTGCAGCATTGGGAACATGTTACATGTTCCACCCTAAAAACAGGAGGAACATGTCACATGTTCCCAAAGGTGAACTTATTCTTTAAGGGCTGAACCAGTGAAAAAACAGGGGAACATTATGGATTTTGCATCAAGAAGGAATCTAGTGTCCCAGAAGAGGACAGGTAGAACTAGGGGTAATGTAAATGATCAAAAAGGTGCAGCACTAATTTAAATCCCTTAAATAAAAATGTATCTATTAATCCAATAACATCACAGCAAAAAATAGTGAAAAATGTCCAAGCAATAGTGTGAATCCAGTCCGCATAATTGTATATCTACTGTAAACACAAATTCACTGTGCAATCTTTATGACATGAGTATGAAAATACACACTCTTCAATCAGTGCTTAAAGCATTACTAAAAACTATTTTTATTACAGTCACAAATATGTTCTTACCTGCTCTGTGTGCACTGGTATTGCAGAGTGGCTCTGAATCTTCTCTTCTCAGCTCACTTGACAGCGTTGTCTACACCACCTCTTCATTGTCTGTCCCCATAGTAAACTCTTGCTAAGATTGCAGACTCATAGCCCTCCTCACTGGATTGATTGATAGCAGCAGGAGCCAATGGTTTCCTACTGCCTCCATGTCCAGTGAGGAGAGAGAAAGAGAGCAGCTATACTGCTCTCGGGCACAATGCTGGATCGAGTTCAGGCTAATCTTAAAATAAATTCCGCTTACCTTTGCAGATGAACCCCTTTAACTTGTAGGTGGTTTATAAACTCCTAGTTCCCACAAAGGGTTAAACTTTATAGCTCACTTTCTGTCAGACCATGGGTTGAGTATAGGGGAAAAAAGACAACAAAAAACAGATCACTGTACTCACTTTATTACTATCAAATCGCCCCCAGGTGTATTTTTCACCACTAGAGAGAGACTGTTATCTGAAAAGATAATAGACATTAATCGTAAAGTGGAGAACAAACCCAAAAACAACCATCAGTAGACAAAACTTAGGCCAACAGCAAAAGTGGTCAACAAAAAAACAAGAATATTTGTATGGTAAAAGCTGAAGCCTAAACTACCTAATCCTTGATCTTAAGGAAGGAATGTTAGACAAATTGGGGTTTATTTACTAAAGCTGGAGAGTCCAAAATCAGACTCCCTTCTGCATAGAAACCAATCAGCTTCTAACCTCAGCTTGCTCAATGAAGCTTTGGCAATGAAACCTGGAAGCTGATTGGTTTCTATGCAGAAGGGAGTCTGATTTTGGACTCTCCAGCTTTAGTAAATAAACCCCATTATGTCTCCATGAAAATCAACCAACGAGCAACAGGTGATTAAAAAAAATTATAACATTAACCCTTTAATGCAGGGAAAGTGGAGATGCAAAATAAAACAGCCTTTTCGGAACCAATCTAATAGAGTGGGAAGGAGATCTTAAATGTGAAAGAAGAAGGGTGCAGTAGAAAGTCCCTCTTTTAGGGAAGGGATGGGAAGATACACACTCTCGTATGAAGAGGCCAAGTGAGGATGCATAGTTATATAGTAGAGGAACAAGGACCTCAGAATGAAGGAATAGGAAGACTTTTCAACTCATGTCAATAGCTGACACAAAGATGTGACAGTCACAATACTACTAGACTGAATAAATATATATAGAATCAGACTAAACAAACAAACAAATATTAAGTGCAGTGCTCACTAGTGTTGAAAATGTAACATAGACTAAAAAAAGCAATAATCACCTTAGTAGAAAACATACTTAAGTGCCATCACACCACAATAATAAATGAAATAAATGAAAATCACAAAAGTCCTACTCTTCAGAAATATATGATACTGTCCCTTTTTTGAAATGTGACCCAAAAATATGGAATGTGATCTTCAGTGCTTACTCCCAATGTATAAATAAGATGGACTCTCACCTTAAATGGTAGGATGTGGTTACCATAGGTCCATACTGCATCTTTCTTCAAGGGGATATGTAAAATAGCACTATATAGCATTATAATAGAATTGTATTGTAGCTGTATTATCTGCCCTCATGTTCTAAAGCGCTATGTAAACTGTTGGCGCCAATTAAATCCTGTATAATAATAATACTAATAACACTACCTTGTCTTCCCCACTATGCAGTAGGACCTATTATTACCCCATCCCTTTAAGAGAGAGCTGCAATAACACCACTCTGACTCCTCCACATCAGAGGTGGGCACAAATATATTGCCAAAGATAAAAAAAAAACTAATAGTACTCTCCGTTTAATATATATTTATTTAAGATAAAAATGTAAAAGATACATTCACATTAAAAGGTACACAAGGAACCTGTGCACAAGGATTAAGACTTATCCAGAGCTTGCCTTTGTCTCCCTTGGTGCTGTCAGCAACTCTCACAGCACTTCCTAGTCGCACTGTGATAATGTCATCAAGCTCCAATTGTGCAAAACGTGAGCAAGTTGTTTCCTTGGATACCCAGATCCTGAATAAGGAAGCAGCTGGCAACACTGCATAGCATCGTCAACCTGAAAGGGAGTTTGGAGTATACCTGTCAAGTTCTGGCAAGGGCCAGTATAGAGGGGCGTGGAGATATGGAATTGCAGGCATCAGAATAGGGTAGATAGGGGACAGATGGGGTGGGTAGAAGGAAAAGCATTAGAGAGGCCAGTCTTGAGCTGACACATCCCAATAAATATGCCCATTTGCATGATCTTGGGACTGTCAGTTCAGGAAAGGCATTGCTGGAGCAGAGTGACCCCCCCCCCCCCCCCCCAGCTGCCCCAGGGGAACAACTCCTCCAGTGAGGATGGGGAAAGGTTACAAGAAAGAATAGATAGAAACTGGTGGTAAGGGGCTCAATTATTAGACAGATATGGCAATCTTGACGCAAAGACCATGATTGCCGAACAGTATGTTGTTTATGGGGTGCTTAGGTTTGCCACATCGCAGATCAGATGAACAGATTGTTGGGTGGGGCTGGTACATATTAGTACCATCGACAAAGTTAAAGGAAGATGGTGCTCCCTAAGAAAAAATTGCAGGGCCTTGAGGGCTATAGTAAAGAAAAGGACATCCAAGGCAGTATTCTCAGCAATACTGTCTGTACCTCGAGCCACACCAGAGAAGCAGCAAGAACTTAAGAAACTTAACATGTAGCTGAGTAACTGGTGCAGGAAGGAGGGATTTGGGTTAATGGAGAACTGGGCTGACTTTTCAGTTGGTCACCGGCTCTGTAGCAGGGATGGACTGAACCTAAATGATAAGGGTGCAGCTCTGTGGCAAGAGAAGATGGCCAAAAGGTTGGAGGAAATTTTAACAACTTGCCCTCCAGAGGATTTACCCCCCTTCCTGACCAGGCCATTTTCTGTGTTACGGCGCTACGTTACTTTAACCGAAAATTGCACGGCCGTGCAACGCTGCACCCAAATGAAATTTATGTTCTCTTTTTCCGACAAATAAAGCTTTCTTTTGGTGGTATTTGATCGCCTTATCTTATTAAACCCACATCTCTCCATAAAGAGGAGCTGTCACTAATTATTTCTATCACAAGAGATGCATGCATTCCTTGTGATAAGAATAAAAGTGATCAAATTTTTTTTTTTTTTTAAAGGAACAGTGCAAAAAAACAAAACAAACAAATCATTAAATAAGTTGAAAAAGAAATGTTTAAAGTGCCCCCCGTCCTCCCATACTGGCACATAGTGGTGAACGCATATGTAGGCCATGCCCACATATGTAAACGGTGTTCAAACCACACATGTGAGGTATTGCCACGAACGTCAGAGCAAGAGCAATAATTCTCGCACTAGACCTCATCTGTAACGTTACACTACTAACCTGTAGAAACTTTTAAAGCATCACCCATGGAGATTTTTAAGTATTGCAGTTTCACGCCATTCCACGACCGTGCGCGGTTTTAAAGAGTTACATGTTGGGTATCTATTTACTCACTGTAACATTCTCTTTCATATATAACAAAACAAATTGGGGTATATATTGTGGTTTTTTGGGGGGGTTTTTTGATCAAAGTGTATTTTTTTCCAAAAAAAATATATTGTTTTTAAAAACTGCGCATTTCGGTTTTTGCATTTTGAATTTTCAGTTTCAGCACCAGAATTTTCATTTCAGTGCGCCACTAGTTTGCACTACTATAAAACTACAGAGCACTCTGCAGCTAATTGATACAGTACCCACAATCTTCAGTCTATCACTGTCTGGGTATGGCCTCAAAGGCAGAAACGAGAATTAGCACATCTGTAGAACTACTGTGTAGAAACTGCATCACATCCACAAAGTATCAAGAATGTTGGTAAAAGCAAAAATATTGCAGAGTTGAGGAGAAAGTGTTCAACCTCCTTGGAAACTAGTATGATAGGGGTGAGGTTATGGTGGGCTGGCTTTAAATAGTTTTTCTCTTTGCTGGTGTCCACCTCCTTCTATATATCCCTGTGTCTCGTGTCTGTAGGGGCATGTTCACATGGGTGGATCGCTGTTCAGAGGGCAGTATGTCACCTCCTTTCTGCCTGTTTTAATCTGAAAAAGCCTGTACAACTGCACTGTAACTGCGTGCATTATACACGGTTGCAGACTCAGCCTTATTCACTTGAATGGTTTGCGTTTGGCGACAATATTGTCTGCTAAACACAACGGGAATATAATGTTTCCAAGGCATGTTTACAGCTCTAACTGGCTGCATGTTATCTTTTAGGTAGGGGAGTAAAACTATGGCTCAACTGCCTTTTTTTCCTACCTGTTGGCTGCCTGTGTGAGTGAGGCCTAAAAGTAAATTTTCAATGTTTGTGTTAAAAAAACAAAAAAAATCATAGAAATAAGTCATTGGGTAACTTCATTGTGTGGTCATTAAATGGGTTACAGGACTGATAGCAGATTTATCAGTATGTTCTTGCAGGTCTGTCAATATGAAATGTACATTTTGTGTGAATGTCAAAATCTGATTTATCACAGGATGAAAAGGGAACAGTATGATATTATAATACTATGGTTCTGTGGCACTCTGCATATTTACAGTACATATTGTGATGTGTTATTGTTTTTTAGAGCCTATCGAATTGGACAGTGCAGGGATGTAAAAGTATTTAGGCTAATATCCCTGGGCACCGTGGAAGAAATGATCTATTTAAGGCAGGTTTACAAACAGGTAAGACTCCTTTCTGCATTAAACAGGAATACACACAGCCAAGTTTTATCGCCATTTTGAATGCATGTCTAATCACATTTACATCTTTCCAAAGCTGGGTACATGTTATAATCTGTACAATGTCCTTTATTATGATAATACATATTCAAATCTGATTTAATTAATGTCTATCAGGCTTAATTCACACAGTGCCATGACAGACATTTGATTTCATTGTAAAATGCCTGTCACCACAAGGACAGACAGAAAACAATTGTTTTCTGTGTGTCTCATTCACACTGTAGCACAGGCTGGCGCTGCTGTGTGCTGCATTTTATCACAGTGTACTGTGCCAAATCGCATGGCATCAGGCTGCTGCACATTACCATGAATAATGTATTTGTTTTGTACACTTCAAATAAAGTTTGTAAAAAACAAAAAGAAAGGGAGCCGTATGATACGCTGAATCGTGCACCACACTGTCCTCTACCGTAGCAGGGAATGGAGAGCTGCTGGAGCAGTAAAGCTCTTCAGCAGCTCTTCATTCCTGAGTGAATGCGCACCCTATGTCAGCCTTGAACATAGTTGTTGATCAGTCATAAAAATAATGTACGTTCTACTGTAAAGTGTAGCGGAAAAATGGAGTGTTATAGGATGGGAAAAATGAAGTGGCACCTTTACATTTGACATAGAAACGAGTGACATATACAGGGAAGAATAGGAGAAAAGGGAGGAGGTTGTGTAAGGGCATGGTTGGTGAGGGAGCACAGGTGGGGAGATATAGAATGGAACAACACTTGTCAAAGAGGCAGGAGAAGTAGACATGAAAATTGGTAAATTATCCTTGATGGTACTTTCAGATGCCCACAAGGCATTGTCAGAAATAATGGCAAATTCTGTACAGAAAACAAAATATAATTTCTATTGTCCATTATGGAATCGATCCAGAGCCACACATGACCTAGTGAGAGTTGTGCTATAATGGTGGTAGCATTATAATAAATGACAATGTCCAATCTTGCTCTAAAGTCCAAATAAGTGCTTTATTCAATTGAATTAAAATAAGTCCACAAAAAGATTGATAACACTTCACACTATAATCACTATTAAGGTGCTTACTGTGGTATCTGCAGTGTGCAATGGGGAACCAGCATGATCTATATTCCATGGGAATAATCAGGGAGGGCACAGATGTATCATACAGCTGACAGGTATGGTAAAATCGACAACTGCAGAGAAGGATGGATGTGAGCACATGCAAGCCTACAAGGACACCCAGGCTGGAAGAATGTCACCACTAGACAGGAAGTCTTCAGGCGGCCATGTGTTCCCAGCACCAACAAGTACCAATAGACATGCACGGTCTCCAAGATGTGAGCTTGACTGCACTGCAATATTTCTTGACCAAGGATTCCAATATGATGATTCATTATAGACAGCATAAAGATCCATCTGGAACACAATTATTTTGTTTTTCTCGACTAATTTCATTTACAAAAGTAAGGCATGGCTATGGGCACTAATTATGCCCTGTGCTTTTCAAATGTCACTATGGGCTTCAGGGAGGAGCACTCCATATGGTGTAATAATCCCTGCACACTGTATATTGTCTTTTACAGTGGATACATCAATGATATTCTGGAATGGCAGTGTGAAGTGGTTTACCTCCTTTGTAGCCCATTGTAATGGCAACAATCTGTGAATAATCTAATCCTTGTGCATGGCTATGAATATACCTCAACCCCATGTACTCAAACAAATTTGAAAAATATTATATATAAAGGTATGTATACTCAAAAACTTCCCCCACCAAAAATGTGATGTAACCATCAAGAGCTATAATCTTCCGTATAAATAAATATATATATATATGTATGTACTATACTCTTGTATTAAATGTACACATACAGTGGGGCAAAAAAGTATTTAGTCAGCCACCAATTGTGCAAGTTCTCCCACTTAAAAAGATGAGAGAGGCCTGTAATTAGCATCATAGGTAGACCTCAACTATGAGAGACAAAATTAGAAAACAAATCCAGACAATCACATTGGCTGATTTGGAAAGAATTAATTTGCAAATTATGGTGGAAAATAAGAATTTGGTCACCTACAAACAAGCAAGATTTCTGGCTCTCACAGACCTGTACGTTCTTCTTTAAGAGGCTCCTCTGTCCTGCACTCATTACATGTAGCAATGGCACCTGTTTGAACTTGTTATCAGTATAAAAGACACCCTGTCCACAACCTCAAACAGTCACACTCCAAAACTCCACTATGGTGAAGACCAAAGAGCTGTCAAAAGGACACCAGAAACAAAATTGTAGACCTGCACCAGGCTGGGAAGACTGAATCTGCAATAGGTAAGCAGCTTGGTGTGAACAAATCAACTGTGGGAGCAATAATTAGAAAGTGGAAGACATACAAGACCACTAATAATCTCCCTTGATTTGGGACTCCACGCAAGATCTCACCCCGTGGGGTTAAAATGATCACAAGAACAGTGAGCAAAAATCCCAGGACCACACAGGGGGACCTAGTGAAGACCTGCAGAAAACTGGGACCAACATAACAAAGGCTACCATCAGTAACACGCTACGCTGCCAGGGACTCAGATCCTGCAGTGCCAGACGTGTCCCCCTGCTTAAGCCAGTACATGTCCAGGCCCGTCTGAAGTTTGCTAGAGAGCATTTGGATGATCCAGAAGAGGATTGGGAGAATGTCATATGGTCAGATGAAACCAAAATAGAACTGTTTGGTAGAAACACAACTCATCGTGTTTGGAGGAGAGAGAATGCTGAGTTGCATCCAAAGAACACCATACCTACTGTGAAGCATGGGGGTGGCAACATCATGCTTTGGGGAAGTTTCTCCGCAAAGGGACCAGGACGACTGATCCATGTACAGGACAGAATGAATGGGGCCATGTATTTTGAGTGCAAACCTCCTTCCATCAGCAAGGGCATTGAAGATGAAACGTGGCTGGGTCTTCCAACATGACAATGATCCCAAACATACCATCCGGGCAACGAAGGAGTGGCTTCGTAAGAAGCATTTCAAGGTCCTGGAGTGGCCTAGCCAGTCTCCAGATCTCAACCCCAAGAAAACCTTTGGAGGGAGTTGAAAGTCCGTGTTGCCCAGCAACAGCCCCAAACATCACTGCTCTAGAGGATATCTGCATGGAGGAATGGGCCAACATACCAGCAACAGTGTGTGCCAACCTTGTGAAGACTTACAGGAAATGTTTGACCTCTGTCATTGCCAACAAAGGATATATAACAAAGTATTGAGATGAACTTTTGATATTGACCAAATACTTATTTTCCACCATAATTTGCAAATAAATTCTTTCCAAATCAGCCAATGTGATTGTCTGGATTTGTTTTCTAATTTTGTCTCTCATAGTTGAGGTCTACCTATGATGCCAATTACAGGCCTCTCTCATCTTTTTAAGTGGGAGAACTTGCACAATTGGTGGCTGACTAAATACTTTTTTGCCCCACTGTATATGCTGGGGTAAAAGACAGAAAAATATAAGTAATATAAAATATATAAATGTGAACCAGCAGCAATGTACTTAATAAACTCTCATACCAGGCACAAAGCAAAGAATAAAAACACAAATCAGTGCTGCACCGGAATAATTAAATCCCATATACAATAAACTCTGTTGCTAAATATATATTAAATAATATCAATAGTGTGGTGATATTATAGTGTTGTTGCTACATAAATTAATATACCTGTGACATAAAATATAAAATAATCAGCCTTCCGGGATATCTGTATTATCGCAGCGATTTTACACCATATGTGCTCCACATGCAAATAATTTTTTCAGTGCACCATCACACACCTACAAGGTGTGCGCTCTCCATCTTGAGCGGTATGACCTCCCACTATGTGTTTGGTCTGTAAGTGCTTGTGTCCCAATATGAGGACAAGACTCTTCTTTCCACCCGGACCCATAACATTAATTTCGGATCACCTCTTCTCCAACAACCTCCACTCCAGACAGCATGTAAAAAGAATATTGGATATAGTGCCATATCTTAAAACCACTTTATTGATCAACGAAAGCCAATAAAATTACACTCACACAGGTGCAAGGCTGCTATATTGCACCAGATTTATAGAGCTCTGATATAGATGTTTTTATGGTAACTCTCTATGGAAAACGCTATAAAAGTCAGACCACCTGCCGCATTCAATGTGGACGTAGTAACGTCACCCAGGCCTTGCGGTCCAGGGTATAGGAATTGATGGGCACAAAATGTGCCTGGCATATGCCATTCTCTTTCTTCGAAAAATGTGAAAAAAATGTGAAAGATACCTTTGTTTAGGGATGGGACCTTGTTCGTATACCTACCCAAGATTCCTACGTGGTGCAGGCATCTCTACAGTGGGAAGAGGTATAAGGGGGTTGCCATCTCTTGAGGACTTCGTTTTACTGTGCTATTTATTTGTGTTTTATTAATAAAATGTCCTTTGGATTAAGATACAGTTGATGGCAGTTCTTTAATATAAGTCAATATAGATTTATGTCTCATGTACCAGATATCCGACCAGCCCAGAATGTTTTTATGAAAAATACCATAATAAATGGTTTTTTAACGGTGTTATTAATAATTACCATCTTTTTTTAGGAACTACACTCCAGCTTTTTGTTTTTGTTAGCATATATATTTTCTGGTTAGAAACATCCTCTGGGGGGAAGAGGGGCCTGAAACATGGCGAGATGTGAGATCTCCCCGACACCAGTCGCATCCTAAGTCTTGCGGAGAGAGAAGGGGCTATGTGCCGGAGGTGGTAGGGACCTACCTATGCAAGGGTAGGGGTCCCCTTCAGGATATTTTGTCTCCTGGGGTACCTGCATGGCGGTCTTGAGAGGACGGAGTGAGGATCTGAGGTGCAGCAGAGCGAAGTGTCCTGACAGTTGAGAGGACCTCAGTAGATGCCGAGGGTCAGGTGACCAGCCGCAAAGGAGCACTGGGAGAGGAGAGAAGCCGGCCGGCGTGCTAGGA